TTGCCTTAACTGACTACAGTTAAGTGTCCGAAATCAATTGCCTTAAACTAATGAGAGTTTAAGTGTGTGATTAATAATTGCCTTTTAAGAATGTGATTATGGAAATTATGATTTGGCCTTAGACTAAGAATAGCTAAGAGCATTATTATGATCTGGCCTTAGACTAAGAATAGCTAAGAGCGTTGTTATGATCTGGCCTTAGATTAAGAATAATTTAAGAGCACTATTGAAATAGTATCTGAATTGAATAAAATGTGTTGATATGAACTGAATAATATCAAAACTGTGAATGTCTGAAACGAAAATTGTGTGCATGATATCAAAAGATTTGATTATGAATTTAGATTCAGTTTATATGGATGTTCGACGCATTAGATATGCTTACTCAGCTTTACCGCTGAGCATGTAGTGTGTTTTATTTGCTACACGCAGGTAAACAGAAAGCACAATGTGATCCTGGCGGCAGATGAGGCGAGATTGTCGGGATGGATGTGACAAGTTTTGAAACAATTTATGATATGTCAATATTTAAATCGCTTCCCCAATATTGTTGAATACTCCGTACTGTATATGTTATGAAAAATATTATTGGGATTAAGTGTTTGAAAAGTTTTAAATTTTTACGATTACCAAGTTAAATACTTTAGTCCGAATGGGGCTGCAGACCTGGACGGATTAGGGTGTTACATGTTTACATTAGTATGAGATGTGTAAACATATTATATCTGCCTATATATGATAGAATAATGATAAAACAGTTCGCCATCAGGGCACAACTCCAACACTTCGTTGGGAAGGATTACTACCCAAAAAACTACATTCATCCAATGGCGCCATTGCCGGAGAGTGGCACGATATTAGTCTAGTTTATTCTAGTTAGCTTGGGTGAAGACCGGTTTGGACGATCTTCTCACATCTTTCTCACCAACCACACGCAAAAATTATGGATTTCCCCAATGATTATTACGGACTGCCCTCTCACTATAAACCACCTAACTGCTCTCTGTATCAAACACCCAACCTTCCTTGATGGTGTAAATCACCACGCAAATAGTAAGTATAAGTAATCGGAAGGGATGTAGGTAGAAACACCTGTAACCCGGTTTGTTATTAATGATAATAGGAGCTATTACAAATACAAGCCGTGTGGATTAATAAAGTATGCCTCACAAATGAGGCTTTTAGGAGTATTTATAATAATCCTAAGCACGTCAAGCACGTCTCTAATTATCCAACCGGTCAGCGGACTGACCGGTTCCCCTGTCATACTGCTGACCGGTTGCTTAGGCGCACTTCAAGAATAGATCTTCAGTGGTTGGCTCCGGCCAACCCCTCCAACCGGGCAAACAACCCGGGTTGGGAAGGGTACGCGTTGTCACTTTTATGACCACCCGGACGGGTGAACCAACCGGGCGGTATCCATGGGTTATTACCCATCAAGGAGTCCTCCGATTCCTGGTCCTGTGGGGACCATCAGGGGCGGGAAGCACTCGCGATCATCTTCTGAAATTTGAACTCCCCATTCGATTTTTGGTGGGAAAATCGTCTCAGCAAACCAGCGCAAACCCAAAATATTTGAATTTTGAATTTTTGAAAACCCGGCTGCCAAAAGCGGGAGAATCTTTTTGAAATCGGGTATGGAGCCGCCGATTTATCATGCCGTTTCATTTCCCTAAGAGGTTATGATTACGAATCATTTAGGTCACCACGTGTCGTTCTGCCATTCGTCCGTCTGGGCGGCATTCCTCCTATATAAAGCAGGTTTCCCCCATGAAATTTCTCACTTGCAAATCTCCAACTAAAAATATGCCCGGCTGCTTCTGCTTTTTCACGAGTCCTCCGAGTCCTCTTTTTCCAAGTAAGTCTCTTTCCTCTTCTTTGAGTCATGTCTGACCGCGAAGAAAGCCAGAACCCTTCCGTCCATTCTTACGGTTCTGGTGACCGGTCTCAGACTTCCGGTTCCTCTTCATCTTCTTCTTCTTCTTCGTCTGAGCGCCCGGCTACTTCCTCGCCGAAGAAGCCGGTTGACGCTTCCACTTGTGCCCCTTCTTCCTCCGTGGCACAAGTGGCCTCGGTTGCCCAGCTTGGGGATGAGGGCTTCATTCAGCTGGACGACCGATTGCTTCAAGAGTAACCGTCGTACATGCAAAAGCTGCAAATCCACGAGCTGCGTAATCTGATGCGTGATGGGTACCAATTGACGTACCGGGCAACGTGGAAGAACATTATTTCTCTCCACGCCGGTACGACAATTGGTATTAATTACCACTCTATCAAGGACATGGGTGAATTCTCTATTCACCCATTCAAGGTCCTCTTCCTTGAGACATACAGGATCATGCCCGGGTAGTTGGCCCCAAATGGACACCGTATGTTGAGTAGCTTCATCAACGTTTGTCGTTTTCTTTGCATCCCTCTGTCTCTTCGTCTCTTCGATCACATGTTTGATGTCCGGCCTGGGTCCAAAGAAACCCTTGGATTCGTGGTAGTGTCTTCTCATCAAGGCCGGGCATTCCCCTGTGGCCTTTCTCCTTCTAACAAGAAGTGGAAGGACAAATACGTGTCCATCAAATTCCGCCCGACCGCTTTTCCTTTCACCCAAAACGTCTAGGGAAAGAGAATGAAGCGCCAGGTCAAACCCTCGGAGGCCGACGACCTGGTCGGTTGGGAGGCCACTCTCCGGGCCAGGGACGCTTCCACCCGCGGTCTTTACAACGTCCGGAAGTGGAGCGTCTATCCTGGCCGGGAGACTGATCCCGAGCCAGAGATCATTCTGACTGAAGCGATCCCTGACGCCGTCCCCCTCCGCCGGGTTAGAGGGTCCAAAGCCCCGGTTACTGCCGCTGCCGGTCCCTCGCGTCCGGGGAAGAAGAAGAAGGCGAAAGGTCAATCAACAGCCCTTTTCAACTTTCCTTTATATTCGGCGTCTTTCAACTCTTTATAACTAACCGGGTTTCATTTCTTCTTGTCTCAGTGGTGAAGTTCCAGTCCAAATTCGCCATTCCCAAGATCGTCATCGAGGAGCCCTCCTCTGCCGAGCCCCTCAGCCAGCCAATCTCCCTGGATGAGCAGCCGGCCCAATCCCAGCAAGGGACTAGCCAGCCAATCCACTCCGGGGAACTCTACATAAATGTAGATACCCTGAAGTTTGATAACATGCTGGCTGAAAACGCCCATACCTCCGAGGCAAGTCAGGATGGCCACCAAAACGGGGAAGGCCACGGCGAAGAGGAGGCTGCTCAAGAGTCTCTTCAAAGGAAGAGACGAAGGGCTGAAGTCGTTGACCAGTCGGCCAAACGCGTGGCCCAGTCCTCCGAGCCGGCCAAGAGCCTGGCGAGCCCCGACCGTTCGCTCTGATGGTCCGGTCTGATGAAGAGCTCTTCCAAGCCTTCCAATCAAATCTTCAAGAGGTACATCCCCTACTCTTTTTTTCTATTTTTTTTGTTTATTTTAAATCTGCCTCACTGAAAAAATCTCCACGTCTTTAAAGCAGGTTGGCCGGATTGGCCTGGAGTACTTTACCCGGCTGGTGAAGTCCAGGGATGAGGAGAAGGCCCGGCTGGAGGCCATGATGGTAGAATGCCGGAAGGATGCCCAGGCCGCCCATGCCAAGGCGGAGAAGGCGGAGGCAAAGCTCGTGGAGCACTGCACGGTCTACCGCCAACTCTACGCCAAGCACGACGGTCTTCTCAAGGCTGCAAAAGAGGCCGATGCGCAGGCTCAAGAAAAGATTCAGCACCTGGAGGCCGAGAATGCCCGGTCGGCTGAAGAGATTGCCCAGGTTGGGGATGAGTTGGAGAAGGAGCGGGCGGAGCGTGCTGCCTTTGCCGCTGCCTGGGCAACCCAAGCGCATGAAGAGTTCGCCGCCCAGGCGCTACTTCCAGGGCCTTTACAAGCACAAGGTGTCGGCCGGGATCGTGGATGAGATCGGCACCTTTGGCTTTGAGAGCGGCCAGTACGCCGAGCGGCGGGCCCTCTATGGCATCCTCGAGCAGCGGATCCATGGTTTTCGGCCCAAGGCACTCTCTCTGCTCGAGCTTCATGATGAGGAGCCGGTCCCTCCATTCCCGGGAATCTGATCCCCCGGGCCTTCCTATTTTATTTTTGTTCTCATATGTAATGATCTGCCTCCGGGCACTTTTGTAAAACTTCAATATTAATGAAAATTCCATTTCCATATTGTGTGCTGGGTGCTTTATTTTTGCTTTATGTTTGATATATAAATTTCTTTCAACTTTAAATTTTCAATCGTGTAGATTAGTGAGTTACAGCCTGGCTGTACTTACCCGATCTCTTACACAGTTTCACCCAAATCCTTTCGAAAGACTAACTGGGTAGCCGGGGAGAGAATGGATCCGACCTATCTCCTCCCGATCGGTTTGTAGACCCGCGATGGCAATTTGACTTGTCCTTTTCGAAAGGATAGTTTGCTGCCCAAGTGCTTGTAAAGCCGACTGTTCTTTCACAACGGCTTGCTGCCCTTGTAAAAAAGTAGGCCTTATATTTTTCTTCAAACGTTTGGCACAACTGACTGGGATGCTCTCCCTTCAGTTATGCCGTTTGACCTCCGTGTTAGTACGGATGAAGTGTATGATCGGTTCGACCGGTCTCTCTCTTTTTTTTTAGATGTCCAACTCGATTGGACATCTGCCCGGGCAGATTGGTGTGTGACCAATTACCGATTAATATGTAAAAACAATCTTTCTGAAAAAAACAAAGTTTTATTGATAACCGGGGACTCATTACACTTTTTATTTGAAAAATTTACGCAAGTGATGAGAGTTCCAATGTCGGTCTACTCGGCCACCTTCCAAGGTTTCAAGCTGGTAAGTGCCCGGCCTGATGATCGCCTTTATGCGATTGGGTCCTTCCCAGTTTCGCACCAACTTGCCTCTCTCATTAGGTTTACTGGCATCCCGTCTGCGTAAGACCTCATCATGCACTTGGAAGTACCGTGGGCCCACCCGGTTGTCATGATATCTCTTTACTAACTGTTGGTAACTGGCCATCTTGACAGCTGCTATGGTCCTTCGTTCTTCCACCAGATTCAATTCAGCTAGGTGGTCGACCTCGTTCTGACCGGGCTGGTACACGGTCTCTCTAAATGTTGGAATTTCCGCCTTAACTGGCAGTCGGGCTTCACATCCGTAAGTGAGCACAAAAGGAGTCTCTCCAGTTGCCCTCCTTGAAGTCACTTTATGCGCCCAGACCGTATGAGGCAAGGCTTCCAACCACTTGTGTCCTTCTTCACCCAATCTCTTTTTTAGCCCGTCCACTATTGTCCGGTTAGCATTTTCAACTTGGCCATTTCCTTGTGGATATGCTACTGACGCCTTGCTATGCTTGATTCCAAAATTAGCTAAGTACGCGGTGAACCGGGGGTTGCGAAACTGTGGGCCGTTGTCGGTGACAATCACCTTTGGGGCTCCGAACCGGGTAATAATGTTCTTCCAAACGAATTTTTCACATTGTCGTACGGTAATGGTAGCCATCGCCTCAGCCTCAATCCATTTGGTGAAGTAATCAATAGCTACCATCACGAACTTCTTCCCACCTTGGGCAACCGGGAAAGCTCCAATAATGTCAATCCCAAATCGGGCAAATGGTATGACATTGGATGTTGGTTGGTAGTATGTGGCCGGTCTGCCGGGATGTTTGTAAAAAACTTGGCATGTCCTACATTTTTGAACATACCGCTCACAATCCCCAATAATGGTCGGCCAGTAGTAGCCGAGCAATATTATCCGTTGAGCCAATGTACGGGACATTTGATGGGCTGCACAAACTCCCTCATGTACCTCAGCTATTACCCGCTCAGCTTCCGGGTTGGTAAGACAACGTAAGAGAGGCCCGCCAATAGCACGTTTGTATAGGTGACCGTCTAGTACCTGAAACCGAGGAGCCCGTAGGACTACTTTCCTGGCCCGTTCTTCGTCATCTCGTTTCTGACCGGTCTCCAAATACTCCATGAGATCGTACCTCCAGTCATCATCCGCTCCAATTATCCCGGTCGCTGAACTCTGGCCTGGTTGAATAGCTGCGACTTCAAACCGGTCAGCACTTGGTACGTCTAGTATCTCAATCTTTGCCAACTTCGACACATGCTCCGGGCAGGCTTGCATAAATTTTGAAAGTATATCAGCATCAGTGTTTTCTGACCGGGGTATCCTGGTCAGACGAAACTCTTCTAACCCCCTTAGAAGTGCTCGGATCAGGTCACTATATCGGGCCAGACGCTCTTCCTTGACTTCCATCTCACCATTGACCTGTCCAACGACAAGACTTGAATCACATCGGATCCTCATTCTCTTTATCCCAAGTGCCCGGGCTAATCTGAGTCCACCGGCTAGTGCCTCATACTCCGCCTCATTGTTCGTAAGTTTAAAGTTGAAAACCAGAGCATGGTAGATTTTGAACCCTTCTGGAGTAGTAAAGACTATGCCGGCCCCACACCCCTTCGGTCCGGAGGCCCCATCAACGGCCATATCCCACCACGGTTCGACCGTATGGTAAGGTCCGGATTCAGGCTCCAGATTGGTCAGTTCAACAAGGAAGTCGGCCAGAGCGTGACCCTTGATTGCGGTTCTTGGTTTATACTCTATCTTGAACTGAGTGAGCATCATCGCCCACTTGATCATTCGTCCCGAAGAGGTTGAATTTCGGAGGACCGGCCTAAGTGGCTGATCGGTTAGTACTTCCACAGCGTGAGCTTGGAAGTACGCGGTCAGTTCTTTGGCCGTTATGAAAAGTGCATACGCTGTTTTTTCAATGGCAGTATACCGGCTTTCTGCCCCATTAAGTGCTTTGCTCACATAGTAAATAGGCCTCTGGCCGTCATCATTTCTTATCAAAACAGAGCTTACAGCGTTTTGGGAGATGCCCAGATACAAGTACAAAGTCTCACCCGGTTTGGGTTTAGACAAAACTATATCAGAAACTAAGTATTCCTTCAGCTGCTGGAAAGCTTCTTCACATTCCTGGTCCCATTCAAATGTGTTGGCCTTCTTCAAGACTTTGAAGAAGGGCAAAGCTCTTTCAGCCGAGCGGGAAAGAAAACGGCTCAAGGCTGCCAGCCGCCCGGTAAGTCGTTGTACGTCCTTCAGTGAACCGGGCGACCTGATCTCAGTTATGGCTTTGATCTTCTCAGGATTAGGCTCAATATCACGCTTGGTCACCATGAACCCCAGAAACTTGCTAGTCTTTACAGCAAAAACGCATTTCTTGGGGTTGAGGCGCAAGTTGTACTTAGCCATAATCTCGAAGCACAGCCTCATGTCAGTTGGGTGTTCTGTTGCTCCCGGGCTCTTGATCAGCATGTCATCAATGTAGGCTTCCATGGACTTACCGAGGAGTGGCTTGAAAAGTCGGTTAACCATCCTCTGGTAAGTAGCACCCGAATTCTTTAGTCCAAAAGCCATCACCCGGTAGCAATAGGTCCCCTCAGGAGTCAAGAAAGAAGTCTTCTCCTCGTCTTCCTTGGCCATAAAGATCTAATGGTAGCCCTTGAAAGCGTCCATGAAGCTAAGCAATTCACACTCGGTTGTCTCATTGACCATCTGATCGGGATTGGGCAACGGGTATGAATCCATGGGGCAAGCCTTGTTCAGATCCGTGTAGTCTACGCACATGCGCCAGGTGTCGCTTTTCGGTGCTAGGACGACGTTTGCCAACCAGGCCGGGTATTGCACTTCTCTTATGTGCCCGACCGACAACAGATCATTCACTTCTTTCTTAACAAAGTCCCTGCGGACATTTGCCAAGTGTCTTTTCTTTTGCTTTACAGGCCGGCTACCTTCCATCATAGCCAAACGGTGGCATATGACAGAACGGTCTATGCTCGGCATGTCTGCCACACTCCATGCGAAAATATCTGCGTATTCCTAAAGGACTGAGATGATTTCTTCTCAAAGTCCTCGGGCAGATCCCGGCCTATCCGCACCATTCTTTCCAGGAAAGTCTCCCGGAGAACAATCTGCTCGGTCTCATCACCCGGCTCCAGTTTTGACCGCTCTTCTTCTTGGGAAACCAAGGAAACCCTCTCAAATGCCTTGGTCATTTTCTTCACGGCCTCCAAGTAACAAGACCGAGCCTTCTTCTGATCTCCCCTGACTTGCCCTATACCACCCGGGGTATAGAACTTCATACAGAGATGGGCCATGGAGATGACCCCACGGACTTTGTTTATTCCAGGCCGGCCCAAAATGGCATTGTGAACACATTTGATGTTCACTACCACAAACCTCATCTGTTTTTGGACGACCTCGTCCCCCGTGCCCAACTCACAAGTTAGAAGGATCGATCCCTCCGCTTCCACCGAATCCCCAGTAAACCTGGACAGGGGAGTCTTTAAGGGCTCAAGCCGTGTCCGACACAACTTGAGCTTCTCAAATGCATCCAAGTACAAAACGTTGACACTGCTGCATGTGTCAACGAGTACTCGGGAAACATCAACCCCACCCATGTCCATAGTTATGCCCAAAGGGTCATTGTGATCTTCGCCGGTGGCGGGAAGGTCTCGGTCAGTAAACGTGATTGGTTCCTGTCTGGCTTGTTTTGACCGGGGAGTTAGGGCCACCGTTCCGACGTAGAGCTCTCACCCCCATTTCTTCCTTTGGGAAGCAGAATCTCCCCCTTCTGGTCCGCCGTAGATGACCTGCAAGTTCTCCTTACCGGCTGCTTTCTTCTTTTTATTCTGCTCGACCGGCTGTCCTTCAGGCCTGATCCATTGGTTTTTCTTTTGCTTGGCCTGAGCTAGATACTCTGGATCAATCTCCCCAGCCTCAATCATCTGCTTAATTACTCCCTTCACACTGTTACACTCTACAGTGTTATGGGAGTCAGTTTTGTGGAAGGAGCAATACTTCTCAGTACATTGCTTCTCACCGGCCGGTTTCTTTTCTGATTTGACCGGTTTTACCTCCATGACTTCTGTTTTCACCATGCCGGGCAGTTCAGTTTCCTTTTTTAAGGAAATCCTTCCTTTGGAATGGCCCTGCTCGGCCTCCCTCTTGGATGACACCTGTGCTTCAGCGTCAGCATAATCCCAGGCCGTGTTGAAGGCCTCTTGGTAGGATTGGGGAGGCCTCCTGCAGAACTCTTTATATAGTTCTCCTGACCGGAGCCCGGACACTAGGAGGGACATGGCGGTTTTGTCATCCATTTCCTCCACCTTATCCACTTCATCCATCCACCGGTTGAGGAACTTGGTTAGGTCCTCATGCTCCCTCTGCCCGGCCGTACTCAAGTAGGTGAATTTCTTCCTCTTGGTACAGTTTTCCTTAAACTTATCTTGGAATACTTCGGCCAGTTCATCGAATGAATCGATCTCCCCGGCCGGGAGGTTGTGAAACCACTCAGCGGCCTGACCACGGAGGGTTTGAAAGAAAAGTAAACATTTTTCGTCCCCGGAAAGGCCCATCATCCTTCCACTCTGATGAAGGGTTTTGACATGTATTTCCGGGTCCTCCTTCCCAGTAAACTTTGGGACCTCCAACTTTGCTTTCTTCGAAAATGGGGTCTCGTGAACCCGGTCTGTGAACGGAGATTCGTTTAGCAGGATTTTCTTCTTTTCGTCCTGGTCCACCCAGCGCTGTAGCTTCTCCAAACATGCTTCGACCCGGCCCACACGATCCCGGGGTTGTTCAACATGGGAGCGGATCGTGTGCCTAGGATGGCTCTCCGCTTCTTCTTCTCCATGGGGAGCCCGACTATGTTGGGGCTCTTCACGATGGGGAGGTTCCGTGCGCCTGGTCCGACCAGGTCGCTCGGCCCCTCTACCCAGGCGATCAAAAGCACTCAACGGGGTTGTTTCCACTCCTAGTCGTTCTTTGGCAGGCCGGTTTTGATTTCGGCCCTCATGGCCAAGCCTTTGAAACGCTGACCTCCTGGACCCTTCAGGTTGAATCGCTTTTCCCTTCAGCTTCTTTTGTGCCTGGGGTACATCCCAATCCTCATCCTTTCTATGGACTGAGCGCACATCGCCATCAGGCGTGATCTGTGTGCGTGACCTCCGTGACCGACTTCTTCTGGACCGGGATGGACCAGCTTTGTCCATCTCTCCGATCAAATTTGTTGGAACGACCGGGCGGATGATATTAGTTTGGGGCAGGGATTGTGGGTACAACCCAGGGACAAAAGGAGAAAATCCCCCCGGTTGTTGAAACATGGACATGAACTGTCCAAAATTTTGGAATGCCTGTGAAAACGTCGGGTCCATGGGCCCGGGGAAATTTGGACGGAAAATAGGGATGGAGGTGATAGGAGAAGTGAAAGGAGTAGGTGTTGGATTAGTGATGATGGGGGTAGGAATCTGGTTTGAGGGTTGGGCACTCCCTCCCGGGAACGAGGTAACGTTCTCAACGGGAGTAGAGATTTGTGAGATGACGGTTTCCTGATTGCTTGTCATGACTTTTTGTAATAGGTCCCACATATGGCGCCAATACTAAGTATAAGTAATCGGAAGGGATGTAGGTGGAAACACCTGTAACCCGGTTTGTTATTAATGATAAAAGGAGATATTACAAATACAAGCCGTGTGGATTAATAAAGCATGCCTCACAAATGAGGCTTTTAGGAGTATTTATAATAATCCTAAGCACGTCTCTGATTATCCAACCGGTCAGCGGACTGACTGGTTCCCCTGTCTGTAACGCCCTACAACCCAGTCTATTAGAATTGATTGTTTTAAATAATTAATTACTGTTCCGGTCCAGAGTTGGGGAAAATAAAAGTTCTTAGGAAAATTATTTGAACATGTCATTAAATTCGTTTTGACTGTTTGGTTCCAAAAACGCAAACAGAACTCAATTCGGACCTGTTCATGGGGGAAAGCGCGTACCGTTTAGGTCAGATTTTAACATAACGGAGTAAAATAAATAATTGTAACCCCCCATCACTCACACGTCCAGCCCATCCTCTTCCCTTCTCAAATTTAATTCCCTCATTATTTCTCTTAACTCACCATAATGTCCCTCATTATAAAATACATTCCCCTCCCTTCACTCATTCCAATTTTGTAACCCCCATATTCAACACACACACACACATTCACTCTCCATCTCTTTCTCTTGTTTTGGCCAAGCAGCAGCGGCCCAGGGAGGTGTTCCGGCGGGTTGACGGAGAGGACGGAAGGTGAAGGAAAGAAGGAGGGCTACGCGGGAAGCTATTCGCTGTCCGTTGTCCATTCCTTAGATGTCGTTTGTTTACCTCGTCGTCTTCGTAGTTCCAACCCCTTCATCTAGAGGTGAGTAGTTGTCTCCTCTAATTCTAGAACATCAAGTCATAATATATGTTGTTATATTCATAGGAATATCGTACGCAACCTACGTACAAACTATGCATGTTCGTAGGTTAACCATCCAACATACGTGTGTCCATGTTATCAAGTTATGTTCTCGTTAATATAAATGTTTTGCAACCTTGTAAGTTATTCGATTATCTAGCATGGAAATATAAGCATTCGTTTCTAAAACTTCCAACGTTTTGATGGCAAACAAACAGATTAAGTGGAAGTCAGCGTGCCTTGATAATCGAGTTACAGAATAGTACAATCGACTATCAGGCCACGCTGGACTCCTCAGTTGATTCAGCATAGCGTGATAATCGATTATGACATATGTGGTAATCGACTATCAGGCCCTGCGGATTCTTGGGTCTGAGTTGGCTTCACTGATAATCGATTATCACATAGGCAATAGTCGATTATCAGGCCTCTCTGAACTTAGGACTTTCTGAACAAACCAACTTGACAATCGATTGTCATAGGGTGACAATTGACTATCACAGTCTGCGGGACTTTGGGGGCAGAAGCTGCACAGCATGATAATCGATTATCAACAGTAGACAATCGATTATCAGCCAGTTCTGAACCTAAGGCCATCATGTTGAACAAATTGTAATCAAACCCATATGTATGTGTTAAATTTAACTTCTTTCTTCAATCAATGCATTCAATTCATCATGTTCGTCCTAGACGCATGTCCTAGGGTCATCATCATGTGCATACTGCTGTAGGGAGGTCAGACTTTCGTGCGCCTACTACAATGGGCCCGTCCAAGAACCTTTGGGATCCAACGGGTTTTCATCAGGTGGGCTTTGTGTACGTACATGGTAGTCAGGCTACAGTTACCACCCAGTTTTGCTAGTTCACTTGCGACGTTTTGTCGAGCCCGGCTCATTACCGGAGTGCAGGGGTGATCCTGTCAAGTGAGACTAAGTCCGGGGTATCATGCATCAGGTCATACCGTCATCATGTATGTTCATGTCACGTCAACATTCAATGTGATTGTCATCATCATGTATGTTCCCATCATGTCCATATTCAATGTGGTAGTACATCATTTTGTTATATGTAATAGTATCCCATCAAGTGCAAATTAATCAGTTTGAAAACATGTGGTTTTCCATACGTTAAGTACAGGTATTTATATGTGTATAAACATATGGGTTATCACTTTATGTTCTTTTGTTAGATTCACTCCTCAGCTTTTGCTGAGCGTGTAGTTGTTTTTGCTACACGCAGGTGGTCACGACGATACAGTGCTAACCCTGGAGGACAGTGATGATGGGAAGATGGGTGGCGCACGGACAAGTTTAATAATTAAATACATTTAATAAAGTAATCATTTGGGCAAGAACCCACCATTTGTCGTTTTACTTATTTTTGACTTATTTATTCACTTCCGCTTTTACTTTGCTTTTATATCATATACGTTTGGGGTTAACTCCCTAGCATTTATTTCACTAATTAAAACCCCAACCATTTTCTTATTAAATAGTCATTAATGCGTTTTTTGTAACAGACGGTCCTCGGACTGTCCATGTAACCCTACCGGTCCGTTGGGTCGCGGGTGAACCGGGTCCACGGAAGGCGGGTGTTACAATTTGGTATCAGAGCGGTTCGGTTTTGTGAAAAAAAATATTGTCATTTTGGGTCAAAAGGTATTTTTTTTCAAAAGTCCACAGCTGCATCTCCCATCACATCACTTCCAGGGAAAGGTACACCGTTATTTAATTCACTTATATGTTATATTGTAGTTAGATCTGATCTAAGCTCTACTTATAGAGAATGAGCCAAGCAGCAGGCGACGATGGACAGGCTGTCCCACATGGGGAGCCTTAGCATGTGAGCGTGCACACGCAAGCGTCAAGCTTCACACCCCAGCAGGTCCCTGAGCAGGCGGCCCCGGGCGCGGGCCGTATTCCAAAAGCCGTTCCCCACATCTAGCCGCAGTTCACGATTAACTTCATGAACTTCCTCCAGCAATTGGCTGGCGCATACGTTCAACCACCGCCACCACCGCCACCGCCAGTGGCTGTCGTCACTATCGAGAAGCTCCGGAAGAATGGAGCTAAGGAATTCCTAGGCGATCGGATCGCCGACCCCATGATCGCCAAACGGTGGTTTGAGCGAACCACTCGAGTTTTGGGAAACCTGAGGGTCCCACTGAATCAGCGCGGCGACCTCGCAGTCGCATTACATCAGGATTCCACCTACAACTGGTGGAAACGCGTGGGAGCAGACGTCCCTGAGCCCGTGCATTAGGCCACTTTTGAGCAACTCTTCCATGAAGAGTACATTCCAGAGCACTTTGTCGAGGCGAAGCAGGAGGAGTTCCTGAAGTTCACTCAAGGTGAAGTCACACTGTCGGAGTATCGTCAGAAGTTTGATGAGCTCGCGGGGTTTGGGTAAGACCTCGTCCCAACCATGGAGAGGCGGTGCAAGCGCTTCGTGGAGGGCCTACGCCCCGACTTATCAGCCCATTTGATCACTGCCCCTCGGGTTGACATCAACGCACTGTTCAAACATGCGTTGGACATGAATGCAGCCCTCATCAAGAAGGCCGAGTACGAGCAGGCCAGACGACGCATCCTCGTCCGCCTCCGCCTAGCTCAAGCAGCAAGGGGTCTCCCTCCGTGCCAAGTAGCTCGCACACAAGCAAGAAGACCAAGTCAACACATGCCCCGTCACCAGTGCCTACACAGGAAAGCAGGAAGAACCCGAGTAAGAGTGGATATCGGTACTCGATCTGCACCCAATGCGGTCGAAGGCACCCCGGAGAGTGTTGGTTTACTCAGGGCTTATGCCTAGGGTGTGGTCAGGCCGGGCATTTCCGTAGGGACTGCCCGACGAACCCTGGCAAGGCGTTTACGACAGAACCCGAAGCTCCAGCCCCAGCCGCCCAGCCCGCTCAGAGCCAAAGATCGGTAGCAGCGTCGAGCCAGCCCAAAAGACCGACGCTGAGCGCTCAGTCTGGAGAGGCTCGAGCTCTCACAACCGCAAAGCGCGGACGCACTGAGTAGCTCACACATGACGTAATCATGGCGATCAATGACCAGGTAAATTTCGAGGACGAAATTTTTCTTAAGGGGTGGATAATTGTAACGCCCTACAACTCGGTCTATTAGAATTGATTGTTTTAAATAATGAATTACTGTTCCGGTCCAGAGTTGGGGAAAATAAATGTTCTTAGGAAAATTATTTGAACATGTCATTAAATTCGTTTTGACTGTTTGGTTCCAAAAACGCAAACGGAACTCAATTCGGACCTGTTCGGGGGGGTAAGCGCGTACCGTTCAGGTCAGATTTTAACATAACAGAGTAAAATAAATAATTGTAACCCCCCATCACTCACACGTCCAGCCCATCCTCTTCCCTTCTCAAATTTAATTCCCTCATTATTTCTCTTAACTCACCATAATGTCCCTCATTATAAAATACATTCCCCTCCCTTCACTCATTCCAATTTTCTAACCCCCATATTCAACACACACACATTCACTCTCCATCTCTCTCTCTTGTTTCGGCCAAGCAGCAGCGGCCTAGGGAGGTGTTCTGGCGGGTTGACGGAGAGGATGGAAGGTGAAGGAAAGAAGGAGGGCTACGTGGGAAGCTATTCGCTGTCCGTTGTCCATTCGTTAGACGTCGTTTGTTTACCTCGTCGTCTTCGTAGTTCCAACCCCTTCATCTAGAGGTGAGTAGTTGTCTCCTCTAATTCTAGAACATCAAGTCATAATCTATGTTGTTATATTCATAGGAATATCGTACGCAACCTACGTAGAAACTATGCATGTTCGTAGGTTAACCATCCAACATACGTGTGTCCATGTTATCAAGTTATGTTCTCGTTAATATAAATGTTTTGAAACCTTGTAAGTTATTCGATTATCTAGCATGGAAATTGTAACACCCCAATCCGTATAACCCGTAATTACACGAATTAAGGTGAAACGAGGGTTAATTAAAAATTTCGCTTGACATTTGAAAATGACAATTACTTATAAATATCAAATTTACAGACTCTGGATCGCGACCCATTTAAAAATATTTTCAGAGTAATACGGAAATACAATAATAATCAAATCATGACACATTTTAAAATCTGATGATCAACATTTGCCTGCCATCCTTGCATCTCCTCTGACTCAATGCCCTCCGGGACTGGTTCCATCATTGTCTTCTTGTTACCTACGTGTAGTCAACGAAAAATAAAAACTACACGCTCAGCGAAACCGCTGAGTGGTACCACGCTAGAACTGTAGAATGATTCTCAGACATATACATATACATGTATATACGTCCACAAAATGTATAGTAACATTCATGATATGGCACATATTATTATATGGTCAATTTGATAAATCATGATGATAAATATTTAATGATAATTACATGATGGCACATTTAATCAATTTGCTTGTGAGGATGATTACATGATACCTATGTAATCAATATACTTTTTCTTTATGATGATTACATGACACCTATGTAATCAATGTAATTGTACTTGATGATGGTAACATGATGCATGATCCTATAACTTGCAAGGACACCCTTGCGCTATGAGATTCGCCCATTTGGTACGACGAACTCACGCGGCCTTAGTCTCACGAATGAGGTGAGACTAGAAAAATAGGGGTGGTACTCGAAACTTGAATACCATGTACGTACACTAAGCCCGGAACGGGTGATGTCGGACTAGTAAGTCCCGCACATCACTCTATAAGAGACGCAATTACACATGATCTCTTACGCATGCATATGATATGATATGCTACAATATGTGTGATGAAATGAATGATATGACATGAACAATTTGTAAATAATATGAATATATAATCATGCATTAGTTTATTTGGATGAAACATGATTAAACTATCATTTAATTAAGCTACGGGGCTCGGAACGGTCGACTGTTTGGCGCGATGGTCGACCTTGATCTTCATCAGGTCAGATTGGCGGATCACCGTGACGGTCGACCGTGGTTGACCAGCAGTCGACCGTTGTTGACTGGATGGCGACGGCGATTCTCGGCTGGGCAGGCGACAGTCGACCGTTGGCCACCAGCGGTCGACCGTTTGTCTGACAGTCGGGGCCCATTTCGATGTTTAACGCGACGGTCCACCGTTTACGTCGACCGTTTGGGTCTGCGAATCTTTCTCTTGATATTTTGAGTGTCCAAAATACTTCTTTAAGTCTTTTAAGCACATTTGATTAACATATATATATTGTTGGGTTGATTTTCCAAAGTTTATATTTACTTATGTGTAATTTAACTTTATGGATTTGGTGTATTTTGATCTCAACATATAGATAACTTATATATGTATCACATATATATTTTGGAATGGTTTTAACATATGGAATAACATATATGTTCATGTATGTATGTGATGAATGATTCGACAAGTCTAACGCAAAGGTACAGACCTGGAAATCAAAGGCCGAAACCTTACGGATGAGCGGGAGTGGAAACAACATCGTAATTTGCCAACTTTGTCATTTCCGTCACAACTGGACAACCTGCGGTAATTTGGGCATATCTCCATCGTTTCTTCACGGAATTGCAAACCGTTTGATTCTATAGATTCCTAAGATGTAAGGCTACAACTTTCGTATAGAAAGTATTTCGTTTTAACATATGTAAGATAGCGTAAATCGGACCTGAAGTCAATAGAAAGTTGTTGTCCAGAATTTCGGGTATGTCGATGAACATGATTCCGACGATTAACTCACTAACTTCAACATTCCAACGCCGAACTTTCTTTGCAATACCTTCCGAATGTTCCTAATAATTGTTAGAGAGTTTATGGTAAGTATTTGGGATGAAATAATATGAATTTTGGTGAAGAAAAACATGCCAACCCGAGGAGCTCGCCACTAATGGCGCAGTCTTGGTATTTTGGCCATATCTTCTTCGTTACTTAACGAAATCGCGAGCTGTTTGTTGGGTTGGATTCGTAACGTCCGGGTCTACAACTTTGGTATAATAAACATTTTGAGAAAATGAACGGAAAATTTCATAATTGACTCGCAATTGGACTGATTGTCTTATGCTCAGGATTTTGGACACTTGAATGGTTTTCTTGCTCCTTCTTCTTCTTCCTTAACATACTACCATGGAGTTGGAGTTTTCTTTTCTTCTTCTTGTTGCTGCCGAGAGAGAGAGGGAGAGATGGAGAGGAGAAGATGAATGTTGATGATGGTGGTGGAACATGATGATAATGATGATAATAGTGGTGGTGAAGTATTATAAATAAAAATTTGGATTATTGTGGTGTAGTGGGTGGCTTGTAGACTTTAAGGGATTTCACAAGGTGGCTTACGTGATTGAGAGGAGGTTTTGGAGATTTTAATATATTCTCCTACTCCGTAATTGATAAACTGGCTAAAACGGTACGCGCTTTTTCGCCCAAACTGCTCTGAATTGAAAACGGATTGTGTTTTTGGAATCAGACTGTCAAAATTAGAATTTCGACAAAATCAAAATATTTTTCTGAGAACTTTTATTTTTTTCTCAGTGTTCGGGTCTGTCTCAATCATAAATTAATATAATAATATAAATGATATAAAAATATATGAATTAAATCCAAATGATTAATATGATGTTGTCAAGTGTCAAAAATTAAGATTTCTAATCTTATAAAATCACTTTTGAATTGAGTTTATTTTATGGGTCAAAGTTACAAATTTTAATATTTAAAATTGACATAACTTGAAATCTATAAATCAGATTGGTTTATAAAATGTACCGTTGGATTTGTCTCTTCGAGACATATCCATAAATATAACTTTTTAACAAAAAGTCATTATTTTGAAAATCCATTTATTTTTTGGTCAAACGTATAAATATTTCTTATTGGACAAAAATTACTTTTGTTTTATAATAAATTTTAGGCCATATTTTGTGGCGTTACATTTCTTTCCCCCTTAAAGAAATTTCGTCCCCGAAATTTCCCTAGGTGAGAAGTCATTTAAATGATGATGTACAGAATCATGAATTTCCATTGTTTTTGTAAAACACTAATTTTGAGAATTTGTTTTCTCTTTCTTTTGTTGAGTGCCATGAGTATGACATTTTCTCTTTTGAGAAAGGATATACGCGGATGATAGATATAACGTGTTTGGATTTCTTTCATGACGACTTGCGTCGAATATATACTCTTAGACTTGCTCTTGTCGTGGTGTAGGAGTTTTCATATGTTCTTATATGGGTTGCGTTTCGTGAATGAGGAGTAATTTACAAAATGTTTCGTGAATGTGGGGTAACTTGCAAAATTTTCCGGTTTTTTTGAAATTCTTCTAGAATCATCCTCAGACGAGTTTGTCTGGAATGTTGGTTTCACAAATTACGCTTCATTATTTACAAGCTAGAACGAATTATTTTGAGGTTTGACGTTTTTTTTACATAACGGTATTTTGGGAAATGACTATTACCATAGTCATCATTCTAGGTTTCTTAGATGAATATGTAATTATAGTTTCAAAACTTGAACTTTCATTAGCGATCCTTAATGGAGTTATTCTGACTAATGTAATGTCAACAATCTGATTTCACATGGCTTATGCATGCCTAAAACCGTAAACATGCATATCACACTTATGTATAACAATAATATATGTTTTTTATCACATTGTAATGATTGGATGAACGTATTGGATAACACTTATTATTTTGTCACTGTTTGTATTATCAATATGATATGTAGTCATTCTTGAATACTGATTTTCTGATTGATGATTCCAGAATTACCTTGGAATTTCCAACTTTCTCAATAATTATGATAAAGCTTCGTGCTCGAAAATTATAATATTAGTGTATTCGTCATATCACTAATATTCATCACACAATAGTTAAATTACTTATTACTAAAAACATGACAAATTATACACATAGTCATATTCTAATATATTTGGGATTCTATAGACACATGTGTGCTTTCTCTTGGTGGTCCGCCCAATTGACTTAAGTGGAGATCACATTTAACTTCAGTGTGGTCATATCCACCACACAAATAACAACTTTTCCTTTCTAGTTGTTGCACAAATATTCCTTTGTTAGGGTCAAAACAAACTTTCTTGATCATCATTAATAATAATTTTTATAGATTACGTAGTCACATCAATCGTTACAGAGTATGGTTTTTGAAGATCGGTATCATAAAACATATTCTTGGGTTTGAGGGAGAGTCATGAGTTACAACAAGTTCTTTAATGATTTGATACAGAAAATGGAATTCAATCTTTTCAAGATTGATCAAGTGAGATGCTTCAAGTGTGTAATTAACACAGCAAGTTTTAGTATTTCAAGGATGCGAGTCACAAGATACAAAGATAACATTTGCGAATTACCACTCAATGTTTCGCCCTTTGGAAATTACTCAAAGAGTCATTCTCTAGGGAAGTAGTCATTTTGACTTTTCGTCTCGGATTTGAATGTATTTCAGGACAACGAGCCTAACTATTAATGAATCCACTTTCCTGTACGTTTTTAGGCTGGTGATAATTACTTTTCCATCAATGGTCCAGTTTCAGAGTCTATATATATCAAATTGTGACAAGAGCGTCTCACATTCTCACATTATGGAAGGAACTTCTCGAGCTCTTTCTAATACCATAAGATTCGTTGGTCTACTTGGTAGTCATGCTCTTGGTAGCAATCCAAGGTTCATGGCTACAGCGGTTGACCTAGGACGGGAATTGGTAAGGCGAAAAATCAGGCTTACCTACGAAGGAGGTAATGTTGGCCTTCAAGGAGCTGTAGCTTCAACAGTCTATAATAATGGTGGTAGAGTTAGAGGTTTCATACCAAGGTATATAGCAACACGAGGGGTCTATGGACCAACATATGGTGCGGAGTACACCGTCTCCAGCAATTACTATAAGTATTTCGAGATGAATCATATTGTGGAAGCCTTCATTGTACTTCCTGGAGGGATTGACACTATCGAAGGTTTGTTCACCTTAATCTCATGGACATCTGAAGGGTTGTACAGCAGACCTATTGGTCTCTTAAACATTGACAGTTATTTCAATAACCTAATCAAGTTTCTAGATGATGCGGTGAGGCAAAACTTCATGGCCTCCAACCAGAGGAAACTTTTCATTTCCTCTTTCTTTGTTGATGAGCTTTTGGACAAGCTAGAGTTTGCTAAGGCTTTCCCAGGTCCTGGTGCTAGTTATGAAGAGTTTGCAAATCCTGGAAGGTTAGACCTAGAGTTGCATTTGTAATATTTCCAAGTTGAAATAATATTGTCCATGTACATTACGTGTCAGTTATAAATATCGTTCTAAGTTGCATGACCAGTGCATTTTATAAGAATATTTATTTCCAACATCAAAATTTACCATGTAAATATTAATCCTTTTCTTTATCTTCCAGTCTTTCACGGTTGGTGTGACTGTTTCACATCTTGTTTTGTACTGTCATCTTGTTGCGACCTTTTACGTCAATAGGGTATACGAACGAGTCAATTATCTTAATATTTGTATGTAGATTCACTCCTATAAGGCGTTTCAGATTCAATACATATGCCGTATTCGATCCGGTTTGCGAGGCTCTATTCTTGTTCTTAGAAAACGATAGATTCACTTTTGGGGATTTGTTCACTTTCTATCGAAAAGGGTTCTTTCTTCAACGTATTCTTCGGATTGTGAGAAGTTGATTCACATCGTTCACTTAGCCATTCGCGTACTATGACATACGTATATGTTGCGCTTATCGGGTTTACAGTCCCTCTTTTTGATCTTCTGATGTTGACCGTGATCGTTGAATAACATTTCGAGGCAATCTAAAGCTTATTGCAATCGGAACTATGTGGATACTAATAACTCAAAGGAAGCAAATTTTCAATGAGTTAAGTACGTGTGTTATGTCATAATAACTTACTTGTTGATTACCTTCCCGGGGCAGAGATGTCGTGGAGGATGCGGATGCAGGACTTTGAAAATACTCACTCAATGATCCGAAAATCGTTTTGCTCTGATACCAAAATGTAACACCCCAATCCGTATAACCCGGAATTACACGAATTAAGGTGAAACGAGGGTAAATTAAAAATTTCGCTTGACATTTGAAAATGACAATTACTTATAAATATCAAATTTACAGACTCTGGATCGCGACCCATTTAAAAATATTTTCAGAGTAATACGAAAATACAATAATAATCAAATCATGACACATTTTAAAATCTGATGATCAACATTTGTCTGCCATCCTTGCATCTCCTCTGACTCAATGCCCTCCGGGAGTGGTTCCATCATTGTCTTCTTGTTACCTACGTGTAGTCAACGAAAAATACAAACTACACGCTCAGCGAAACCGCTGAGTGGTACCACACTAGAACTGTAGAATGATTCTCAGACATATACATATACATGTATATACGTCCACAAAATGTATAGTAACATTCATGATATGGCACATATTATTATATGGTCAATTTGATGAATCATGATGATAAATATTTAATGATCTTGTGAGGATGATTACATGATACCTATGTAATCAATATACTTTTTCTTGATGATGATTACATGACACCTATGTAATCAATGTAATTGTACTTGATGATGGTAACATGATGCATGATCCTCTAACTTGCAAGGACACCCTTGCGCGATGAGATTCGCCCATTTGGTACGACGAACTCACGCGTCCTTAGTCTCACGAATGAGGTGAGACTAGAAAAATAGGGGTGGTACTCGAAACCTGAATACCATGTGTAACGCCCCAAAACATACCCTAAAATTTTTAATAAATAAATATTCAATTAGTCAAATTTGTTTCGATTAAAATAAATAGTTATTGGGATTTGGGCCGAAATGAAATGTGTTTTGACATCCAATATCACAAATCAGGATAAGTCTCATAGAGATAAATCCAATATGTTGAGTATTTGTGTGGTCTTGATTGGAAACATAAGTACAGACCCAAATCAAGAATAAATAAAGAAATTATTTATAATATGAACTTTAAAATGATTTATTGATATAAATCATAAGAACAAATGATATGAATTAAATGCGAGAACCTTTTTGAATAAAAGTCAAATAAACCAATTTTGACTCTGTCAAAGTCAAACACTCAAAAATATGATGTCGAAAAAAAGTATTTCAAATAAATATAAAAATTATATAGTTGGATAGAATTCGACTGTCTGATTGCAAAGATGCAAACGGATTTCAATTCGGAGAAAGTTGGACCAAAAAGTGTACCCCGACTGGAACCAAAATTGGTCCCAATCAGGGACACTGTAGAGACTGCGCCTCCTCCTCCACTAAGGATACGCCGATTGGAATGATACAGAAGGCTTGGAAGTTTTCCCCATCTCCTTCCTATATAAGACTACCAAAGCTTAACCATTTCTTCACCATTTCTCAAAATATTTCATCTTATTCTGTTGCTCTGAGTGAGGAGAACGCAGTGGTGTTGTCAATTTGGTGTGAAGTCGTCGGAGTTAAGAGATATCATTGCCGGAAGTTTTGCCGAAAAATTTCCAAAAACCTCCATTAAGCTTCGAGGTAAGCCCGTAGATATATCTAAAGACTAGAATGTTCATGTAGGTTGTTTTTACGTTCATAAATGGTTGTTTGGTTGAGTTTTGTGTTTGACATGTTTAAGAACCAAGAATCATAAACCTTGAATTTGATGTTAAAAATATGTTTTAATGATTCCAAAATGATCTATGAACCATGGAGAACATTTCTATATAATTTAATTGAAGTTTGGTGATTAAAAATGATAATACTCGAAACTGACTAGAGGAAGAAGATGATGAACAGTAGCCGAAAATCGATTATTTACTCCTAAGAATCGATTAGAACTTTGTTCAGATGAGGTGCTCGAAGTCAGAAAAACATAATCGATTATTTTATTAAAATAAATCGATTTTTATTATATAATCGATTATTTATAATTTATAAATCGATTTTAGTTAAATAATCGATTATTTATAAATTATAAATCGATTTTTAATTATTAATCGATTATTATTCATTAAATAATCGATTTTTCCACATTT